TAGATGTGGTGGTGTCATATAATCCCAGCACTGGGGAAATGAAGACTGATGTATCCCTGGGGCTCCCTGGCCAGCCAGCTTAGGCTAACCAATGATTCCAGGGTCCCAGCGATAGACTGTATATCATAAAACAACAGTGCTTCAGGGGAGGACAGTGCTTGAGAAACAATTCCTTGGTTGATTTCTGACATTTGCGTACAGTCATGTGCACACATGCACTTACACATATAAACACACACAGACACACATACTTGTATGCATCTGTACATGTATACAAACACAAAGGTACTCATGTGCATATACACACACCTACATACACACATGCATATTCCTACATATATGTATATATGCACATGTATACATACACACAGACACAAGCAAAACAGACTCTATGTACCTACACACACACACACATACACACACATACACACACAAAGATAGACACAGAATTTCATTAAAGCAATGGATGGAACATAGAAGTAGATGAAACTGTTTGTTATCTGCCTCGGTGTCTCCTAACTGTGACTCAGGCTACAGCTCTTCCCACTGTGTCTCAGGCCCTGGTCATCATTTGAGGTATGAGCCATGAAATTCAAACTCTCAATGTACAAGTGAAGGCGATCTAAATCATCCGAGTTTGTCAATCCCATTTGATAGCTTGGTGAAAATAAGGATTAAGACAGGGAGCTTTGACTATAGAAGTAACAGAGAGAGACCTGACCATGGCTTCATCCCAGTGACTCTTGTCTTGGAAAGAGAAACAGAGAGACCTCACTTCCTGAGACTCCTCAGTAGGGCTAGCTTTGCTAGTAAGCAGTATCCATACCGAATCTCATTTAAATCTCCCAGGTGAAAAGGTTACTAGCACCCATAGACAGGTACACTTCAGTGACTTGTATGTGGTCGCCATAATCTATACCCTCTTCCACTGATCCCTAGAAACCAGTGCTTCCTTGCTGTCCTACACTGATGCATGAGACCTTTTCAGGGAAGGAGACAGGATCAGGGCTTTTCAGGAAGGGCTAGTAGTAAGGGGTCTTGACTTTGTCCTGTGAAGCTATTATACACACTCTGCCATAAACTCTTGGTCACCTCTGGGGAACAGGCCTGCAGCTCCTCTGGAGGTGTATCTGAGCATCTGTGAGATTGGGGAGACTCTGCCATGAGTACCTGGCTCCACAAAAGAAACCTGCATGTAGCTGTCCACACATTTGATGACTTCTCAGGCTTTACAACGTTAATTTAAGCTTTGCAGCCAAAGTAAGTCTCTTTGGTGGCAGTAATTTGCACTTTAATGTCAGCAGTTTGCTGAAAAACCACCTGGGTTTAAAGAAAGTCACTGTGTTCAGTAAAATCTGGCCACATTTTATGTTTATGGGCTTTATTAGGGCATCCAGCTGAGCTAGTTAAAACTGTGTCCCTATAGTCAGTGAAAGCCCAGGACCCTCAAATTCACTCATTCACTTAATAGCTATTGAATAGATACCACGAAGCAGGCACAGTATATTCAGTGGAAAGCACACAGACATATCCTTGTGTTTGTGAAGGTTACAGTCCAATTCTGGAAGACAGATATTTAAAGAATAAGTACATGAATAAAATATGAATGTTTTATTAAGGAGTGTGAATGCTGCGGGTATTCCAAGAGGGTCTAACTTAGTAGTGATGGGTTAAAAAAAATGTTGAGTTTGCAACAATTATTCTAGAGAAATGAGTTGACAGATGTGAAGGCAGAAGCAGAAGCTAGAAGGGACACGCTGTGGTCTAGGATCATTTATTTCAGTGGCCATCAAAGGAAACAGGACCCAGTTTTTGGCATGGGTTGCCATGCTGCCTCGTGTCCCCACTATCTGTAGACTTAGCATAGCCTCTCGCTGTAGGATATGAATCGTGCTTGCCTGTTTCCTGTGACCTCTTGGTCTTCATTTCTCAACTACTCTTTTGGTATTCAACTTTCCCGCCTTTCCTCTTGGCATTCTCCACCTCTAGAACTATGAACCATACCCTCCAAATGGCTCACAACTTGCTATCAAGCATTGGACATTTCCTGTACTGAGATGAACTCTCTTTTCTTTCCTCATCCTCTGTAGCCCCCTCCCCACAGTGGACGCTTCCTGACATCACCTTTAATGCAAGTCAAATACTAGTATTTTTCTAACCATGTTCTGAGGTCATCTGTGGATAACACCTCAGAGGCTCTCTTTGCTCAGTAGAGCCATTTGTCACCTAGGAATAGATAAGCACAAGACTTTCCCAGTTGTCTTCAGTGTCATTGGCAGGGTCCAAAGCTAATGTGTATACAGGCCAAATCTACTACAAAGGCCAGATGCTGCCAAGAACTCAAAGGTCACACTCAAGGGAAGGGCTGACCCTGAGTAGACAGGCTCAACAGAAGAGAAGCGACTGCAGGTTGCCCGAGTTACCAAGGGCTCCCAGTCTCTGAGAATGACCTTTGCACCTTTCTCTGCTAGGATGGTAACCTGTCCTCTACATCTAATTCATCCCTCCAACTTGAGTGTGCAGAATAAGTCAAACAACAGCAAGTTTAATAATTGTTATAAAACAAAGGCACAGACTATGGGACCCAGGAACTGTCACATGACTCTATTAGACCAGAGTTTAGTTCAAAGATGCCATTCCTGTGATCTCATGTCAGGGCAGAAATTGGCTGAGATGCCCTACCCTGGTACCTGATTCTCTCATTTCCTCTGTTTCTATCCATGTAGTATTCATAACAAGGCAAGCATGGGCTGAATACCTTCCCATGATGCATCACTCTCTTCCACTGGGTAGAAAGGAAGTTCAGGAGGAGATGCAACTTGCCAGAGTATACAGCAGCTGCTAGCAGAGGTCAAATTCTGAATCCCACTCTCACTAACACCAAAGCTGTGCTATTAAACATAACGTTTGGCTTCCAGCCTGCCATTGTCCTGCCTTTCCTGGGAACCCATGGTCTACCCTGAGAACCAAGTAGTAGCAGACGGGAAATTTGATCAGAACATAAAGAATATTTTGAACGAAGGGAGATGGTTAAACAAGCAATTGCTGGGAAGGGGAGGGGGAGGACCACAAAGCAGGGTATAGGGAAGTGACTTTGAACTGATACCTGGACACTGAGTTTGGGTAGCAAGGTGGGGTGGAAAAATACATTACATGTGCCAAAGCCTAGCTGATAAAGGAACAATTGAATGCTGGATTAAGAAGTACTCAGTGTGCTCTGTGTGTCCCACTGTGTTGGGAGCACCATTCAAGGTGGGAGGGTGGGGGTGGCAGCAACATGGCTCTGGTGATTGAGGCAGGCATGCACACTCTTAAGGTGAAATGACAAGCCGATTCTGAGGAGCAGGACTCATAAGAGCACTGCTGTGAGTAACATCCTGTTCTGCACTGTTGAAATATGTCAAGTAGTGGCCTTGTTCCAGGCACAGGGAGAAAAATTACCCTGCCACTTTGTATTGTCAATAATACTGTCACAGGATTCACAGGCTATTGGGGTAAAGTGCCCTGGAATGTGACCTGTCTCTAGTATAGGCGAGTCCTATCATGGGGAAGTTTGGAAAGGGGCACAGCCTGTCAACTGTCATGCCCCTTCTCCTGGCCCCCAAAGTCACCCCTGAAGATGCTAACTGCTCTTAAAACATGGTCACCCCTGAGGAGCATTGGCTCTGCCTTCAGCCTCTTTGGGAGTCAGGCAGATCTTTCTGTGTCACCAGTACCAGCCATGTGGCTTTGGGCAAGGACCTTTTTCAATGTGTTTCTTGCCTGGAGTTGGAAATAATAGCAGCGGCCTCACAGGTTATTCTGAAGATTCTCCACAGAATATTACAATTCGTGTGGTCATGGACAAGCTTGATTAGGGATTATAATGTACCAGGTGCACTGTGTGCTATCGATCTAATCCTCTCGGGGACTTCAGGAGACTGGTGCTATTATTATCCCTGTGGAGATGGAGATGGAGACATACGTGGGTCAAGGTAACTACTCAGAGTCACACAGCCAGCATGAAGCAGAACCAGGACCTGGACCAATACAATACAATACAATACAATACAATACAATACAATACAATACAATACAATACAATACAATACAATACAATCTGGTTGTAAACTTTCAGTCAACAGTACTGTGTTTAACTGCCCACTCCCCAGCCCCACCCCATTTAAATCCCAGATCTGAAACATAACTGGCACTCAGAATTCTTGTCCCTTTCTATTGACCCTAAATAGTATACTAAGTAACAGATTAGCAAAGTTCCTTCCAGTAGCTATGGCTATGAGGACCCTTTAATGTGATACTGGCCAGTGGGAGAAGAGGTCTTGACTTCCTAACCAACACAGCCAACTAGGTAAATCCAAATTTCGTCATATCCTGTATGGGGATTTATTAGTATTAATGAGCAAGTGTCAAACATGTGAAGGTTCTCTACCATACTTCCAAATGAAAATACTCAGCAAATAACCCCCACTATCACCAAAGATCTGGAGTACTTCCCCTCAGAAGTCCATGGAATATGGGGAACAGAAGTACCACTGGGCTCTTTAACAGTAGCTGTCATTGACTTTTGTCAAGATCATCGAATGTCCATTTGAAGACGGACTTCTGAGCTGGGAGTCCCACTGGTCCTTTTCTGTTATGTAGTGGTGTAGAGACCATCGTTGGGGAGAGGGGTGTGGCTAATCCAAGCATAAGGGAGAGGACAGCACAACTCTTTGAGCTCAAAACATCCACACTATCTGGCTACATGGAGCTTGTGGCAGACGAAAAAGGTACATTAATTTTTTTTGCAAGTAAACTCATGGCAATAAAATCCCAGCTATGAATTAATTACTTAATATTCCTATTGCAGGAGGTGGAGGGGATGAGATCCAGCTCGCTCCCTCAGGGCAGTGTGTGGAGAGAAGGTGGAGAGAGCTGGGTTTCTCTGTTCATATTTTGTGGCGGTCTGTAGCCTGCCTCACAGAGGAGCTGATGGGTACATACTTTCCTTGCTTCTACAGGTGTGGCAGTGTGGCGGGAGCGTGGAGGTCCTGCCCTGCTCTCGGATTGCCCACATCGAGCGGGCCCACAAGCCCTACACAGAGGACCTCACTGCCCACGTCCGAAGAAATGCCCTCAGGGTAGCCGAGGTCTGGATGGATGAATTCAAAAGTCATGTCTACATGGCATGGAACATACCACAAGAGGTAGGGAGCCTGCATGGGGTAAAACTTCAAGCTTGGTGAGAGAAAAAAATTCTGAAACAAAACACTAGACTCCGTTTTTCTTCCCAGGGACAGTCACGGTCTCATTGGCCATATTAGACTGTCAAGCCTATGCTTACTACATACAGGAAGAAGCTGGCAAAAGTCTCTGATTCTTATCTGCATCCACCAGCATGCTTGGAGGAGAGTGTGTTCTCTCAGAACTTTAGTGGCCTCATTTTAAAGGAAAACTAAAAAAATAGGATGTGGCTCAAGTTGTTGCAATGCTGGCCCAGCATGCGTAAAGCCCTGGGTTCAATTCCAAACACTGCACAAAACCAGCTATGGTAGCTCAGGCCTGTGATACCAGCCCTTGGGAGGGAGAGACAAGAGACTCATAAAGTCACGATCATCCTTAGCTACATAGTGAGTTTGAGGGAAGCCTGGGCTACATGAGATCTTATTTGAAATATTTGTAAAGGTGGATCAGATGGCTCTAAATTTCCTTCCTTGTCTCAGCTTCTCTGGTGTCTTGTGGTTCAGGAGGATGAATAGATAACACAACAGTAATAAGGGTGAATTCTCAAGGACATGTTAATTTCGATATATACTGGCTTCAAGCCTCTCCATTGAGCCAGGCAGAATAAGGGAAACCCATATATCTGTGAGATTTCTTGAGCCATATGGATGCAAATAAGATACATTCCAGCAGGGATCCTCAGTTGGTGAAGAGGATATGACTTTCTGACCTTCACAGAGCCCCATCCTTGCCTGTCACTGTCTTCTATCCCTCTAGTCACTTATGCTAAGACATGTCAGAGGAGAAGTAATATTCTTCTCCAGGTTTGGTTCACCTTGGCATATGTTGTATGGAAATGACTCTCAAATGCTGAATTGGGAGAACCTAACATATGCCAGCTGTCGCACTCCAAACCTGTTTGCCCGCTTGCCTGCCTGGGCTCATTGCTCCTGTCACCTTCTGTGTGACAAGGCTGTTAAATGCATGGCCTCTGTCATTCCTCCCAAGCCAGGGATTCCCCCCCCAAACCCCCATTGGCTGATCTTCAGAAATTCCCCAGTCCTAACAGTAAAATGATTTATCTCTGTTTAAAGTTTCTACAAGGAAGCCCTGTACTCTGAGCTTCCCACCAACTGTGTGCTGCTCTGGCTGAATTGTTTTATTTTATTTTATTTTATTTATTCATTCATTTATTTATTTTTGTTTTTTTGTTTTTTCGAGACAGGGTTTCTCTGTGTAGCCCTGGCTGTCCTGGAACTCACTCTGTAGACCAGGCTAGCCTCGAACTCAGAAATCCGCCTGTCTCTGCCTCCCAAGTACTGGGATTAAAGGCGTGTGCCACCACCGCCCAGCCTGAATTATTTTAAAAACTAGACTGAGCCTTGAGTGGCAGCTTCAGGCAAGCTCTCTTCGTGGATGGAATCCGGGCCTTCATGGCACCCATGTACCAACTGTAGTAGTCCACCATCACAGGGAAAGTGACCTCAGTTGGGTCCCCTTACGATCAGCGAGGAGGAGCCAAGATCTTCAGTGTAGCACAGCAAAACCTCCGATTGAATCCCTGGCAGGAAGAGGTGTCTAGGGAAACCCCCATGTTCCTGGATCCAGCTGATGCTGTGAGCATTAGAACTCAGTATTCCACTCAGGATTCTGATTCCCATTCTGGGTGTTCCTGGATGCTGAAATGTTTCCTCTCCAGGATCTCACCAGTCAACACCATAGCTCTGTGTGGGATCAGTGTTGCACTCGTGTCTGCCCCCTTCTCTCTGCCCCCAAAGCTGCCAGTCTTCTCTATTCCAGCCAAACCCAGTGAATGGTGGATGCCATAAGCAAAACTCAGTGAAAATTAATATTTGCCTGTAACCCCTCCAAGGGGAAGAAAACAGATTAGACATGGAAATACTCAGGTAAAAATTTTAGATAGAGAAAAAGAAAGTCAGTGTGCTTCCTGTTGAGCTGAGGAGATGGCTTAGTTAGTAAATCACATTCCTCAAAAGCATAAGGACCTGAATTATATTCCCAGAAGACACTAAGGAAAGCTGGGTGTGGTAGCACGTGTTTGTAATCTTCCTAGTGCTGGGGAAGAGGCTTGCCGGCCAGTCAGCCTAGCATACGTATTGAATTCCAGGCCAGTGAGAAACAATGTCTCACGAAAAGGTAGAGGGTATTTAGTGAATGACATACGAAGTTGCCCTCTGGTGTGCACTCATGCACACACAAACCATTTCTTCTCTCTCCCTCTCCCTCTGACACAATCGTGTGCCTAGACACACACACAACCTCCCATATCCCCCATCACTTCCAGCTTCCAACTCCCCTTCCTTCAGATTCTTGAGCTTTTCCAGGGTCAGGTGTGGGGAAAATTTAAAAGGCCGCCAGAGTGGCGCAAGCCCCGGAGGGGCTTCCGCTGCCGTGGCAGGTCCCACATTAGAGAAGAGGTCCTATGGTTCCAGTGGCCTGAGGGCCTTGGTGGCGGCAGGCCCCAGTAACACGAGGAAGTCCTTGGTTCCAAAAAGGTTTATTGTCATGGCGGATAATAGATGGATCTAGGCATACTCCCAAAAACTCAGGGCAGTCCCGAGTTATATAGGGAGGGAGAAAGGGGGAGGACTGGGGGAGAATCTGGGGGAGGCATGTTTAATTTGCTCTGCCCTCTGGCCTTCATTAGTATGTAAATTCCTAGGGCCTGAGGCCTACAGCCTGGCCTATGTGACTCTATGGAGATCTATGTGACTGCTTTTCAGGATCTTGGATGATGGGAGGGACCGAACTCCTGCCGGGTCTCACGCAGAATTCCATGGAGAATCTCGGGGTTCTAGGTACCTGCTCAACCATGACCCAGGATACCGTTATGCAGTCCCACAGTCAGGGTTTTCCATTTTCTGCTACTCTCCATTATACTCCAATAACAAGTCTGCCTTTGGTAAAGCTCTCATGGACTGGCCTCTAGAGTACATAATATTCTGGACATTTAAAACTCCTTCAACTGGGGCTGGAGAGACAGTACTCCCATTAGGGAGCATATATGTTACATCTGATGGTCTACCAATATTAATAACACCAGCTCTTAGAAATCTAACACCCTCATCTGGACTCTATGTATACCCACATACATGCAGTTGCATACACACAAACAGTAGGGGGAGAGAGAGAGGGGGGGAGAGGGAGAGAGAGAGAGAGAGGGAGAGAGGGAGAGAGAAAGGGGGGGGGAACCTAAGAAAACTTTTCTTAACCTACACAATCCTCATTTCTTTGAGATTCCGTGGTTCCTATGCTCTGTGGTTCCACACTTTTGGAAGGCCTCTCCCTCAGGATGCTACTTCTTTCTCCCTTCGGGGTATGTCGTCCCTCTACTGCTGCTTAAATGCTCCCCAGAGATGTCCCCTTCTTCAGCCTCTCATTATACTGCCCCTCTCAGTAACAGCTTCAGCTCTTGGATGTCTATCTCACACACATGCCGATGGCTTCCTAATTAATATCTCAAGTCCTGCTTGTGAACTGGCATCTCCATCAGCCAGCTGGATGACTCCTGCTGATGTCCTCCCTGGCACCTTAGGCTGAGTCTGACTACAGCTAAGGATGTCATTTTCCACCCAAGCCAACTCCTGTTCCTAATTGCTTGTCTCAGTTCCTCATGCTACCATCTGCCAGATATCTGGCTGGACATTGTTCATAGTCCTTTCTTCCTCCTCTTCTGTTATCCCATTCTGTGAATCACAGAGCCTTCCTGTCCGGTCTATATCTAGTTGCATCTGAACTCAGGCCTTGCCCATAGAGACTTCAACTGATTGCCCTGCTTTAAGTCTTCACCCCTTCAAATCTATCCTTGCTAAATGATTTATCCATTGTCCTTCAAAGTCTGTGAAGGACTCTTCTCAGAGTACAAAGGCGAGGCCAGGTGCACTATTTGACACATACTCTCCTCTTTGGGGATGTCCGCTTGAACCCCCACAGTCTTTGTTGGAGGGGGCAGGTCTTGCTGCTTTTCAATGCTGTGCTTGCTTATTTGATCTCTCTACCTGAAATTCCCCACTGACCACCTCATGTTCAACTCCTATCTCTAACAAATCTTCATTCTTACAGACTTGTGGCATTTCATACAGGAAGCTAACCCCAGCACGGAAAATGGTCCTCCCCCAGTATGCCTTTCTCATCATATGACCAGCCTGTCAGACAATAATCTGTTGTCTACAACCTCTATCTTATCAGACCAGTGGCTCTCAAATCTGGCTGAACACTAAAATCATTTGACCCTTAGAGATTAGTTGAACTGGTTTTGGAAAGTAAATGTTGAGGAATCCCATGCCTACCTAAAGCTGGAACTACTGGGATAAACTGTGGGCTTCCTGAAGACATTTTGATGTGCATGTTTGTGTTGAAGTGTGTAGCACAAGGCAGGGTGGGTGGTAAGGCTCACTGGAACCTTGTTTATTAACATGGGACAGCCTGGCTATGTGTGTGGTCTCTTCCCCTGACTCCCAGCCAGTGGCTCTTAGAGCAGAGCTGCCATTCAGCTACATCAGAATCTCATGGAAAACTTAGAAAACACTCTTCTGGGCCTCATCCTAGAAATTCAGGTCAGTAAGTCTGTAGAGATGGCAGAACCTCTGTCAGGATCACAAGATGATGGCTTTAAGGAGCCAGGATTTGCTTCATCCTTTAGAGTCGTCTCAAGTGTGTCAGACTCCAGGAAACATTGACAGCTCACCTCTTCCCTGCCCAACCTTCCTGGTACCCAACACTCCAAGCTGGATAATGTAGGCTCTTGTGTCTATTCTCCCTTACTCTCCACTTCCTTCCCTGCCTCACATGTCTGTTTGCTTCTCTGCCTCTCCCAGATCCTCATTTCAGGCATAGACTGTGTGTTTTGACTTGTCTGTGCAGTTACTAACACATAGCAAATAGGAACTCCAGTAGTTGACAAAGACTGAAAGGTTTGGCTGCCACCTGCTCTCCATGTCTTCCTGGGAGCATCCCAACCACCACCACCACCACCACCATCACCATCATCATCCCAGTACTGGCTCAAGCACAGGCACATCTCTACCCACTTACTTCCCCTCTCTGGCAGCCACTGCAAATTCAGAACAGAAGCTCTTCAACCCTGCTCAAGTGGTGCCCAGAGCATCCATTAGTTAATGTGTATCAAGAATCACATCGGTACTGGCTTGGCACCCAGAAAATGTTCATTCGTGTCCTTGGTGCTATTGGTCATACAAGTATGTTCTTTGTCTGCTCTTACCTGCTACTCTACCGAGCCCTCCCCTGGGCCATGCATGGAGCAGAGCTGTCCTCTTCACCTGCACCCTTACCACCACATTCAACCCCAAACTTGTGAGAAGCCAGAGCAGCCTCCAGCACTTGCATCCAGCTATTTTAATTGAAATTCAGTTTGCCAGTCAGTACATAGGAAACCAGCCTGTAGCAAACACCTGTATTTCCTTCTGCAAAGTTCAAGAACCCTCCTAGCTGCGCTTCTCCTGCCCAAAGACAGTCTGAGTGCCAAGTATGGCCCCATGTTGCTTTGTTCATACCCTTTCTTTGAGGCTTGGACACATGGAATTTTGTGATTTTTGTGGCAGAAATACTGAGCTATTTGTGGGGTAGCCAATTTTTTTATTAGTTTTCTAAGACTGTCCAAATGAATTAGCCACAAGATTGGTTTCCTAATACAACAGAACTTGTTTCCGCTGGGTCTTGAAGCCAGAAGTTCACATTAAAGTGCTAGCAGAGCCAGATTTCCTCCAGTGGCTTGAGACGGACATCCATCTTTTCTTGTCTTTTCCAGCATCTGGGGGCTCCTGGCTTTCCAAGACCATAGAGATTCATCACGTAGGTCTGCTGGATCTCTATGCGGGCCCCTCCTTTGTGTGCTTCTATATGTGCAAACCTTCCTTTCTGTTCTCTTACAAAGTTACTAATCATTGAATCTGGGGCTCATCCTATTCAAACAGCTTCATTGTGAGATTCCTAAGCTGTAAGAAGTCTTCAAAGACTTCTTAAAATTCTATTCAGAGGTCCTAGACAGCCATGGATTTTGGAGGAGAGAGATCATCCAACTATACTAAATGTTAAGAAAAAAGAAAGGAAGGTTCATTGTTTTCTAATAATGCAGGCCAAAGTACCCTTGTCTAAGTAAGACCACTAACCATTTCTCACTGCCATTAAAAGGATTTGATGCAATTGGCAGGAAAAAAACACAGTACAAACATACTGAACCTTGGAAACACAAAAGCAAAAGTCAGTTAATAAACAGGATGAGGTGTGTGTGTGTGTGTGTGTGTGTGTGTTTCTGCACACTCGTGCACGCGCACATATGCATAGATCTTAATATGCAAAAGTTGAAAATGTATAGGAGGCTGGTTCTGGAGGTTCCTGTGATAACTGGAACACTGGAGATTATATATATATATATCAGTCTATGTCTCTATCTGTCTATCTATCTATCTATCTATCTATCTATCTATCTATCTATCTATCTCATTATATCACAAGCAGAAATACAAGATCCTGAATACAGAAAGAATGGTTTGCTATGAAAACTCACACCTTTAGGAAAGCATGGGGGCTGTCCTGAAAGAGGATCTAATAGTGACCCCTTGTCAAAGCTAATGCTCTTGTGGTATTATAATTGTATTTCATACAATTTAATAATTGTATACCACTCAAACTCTACTATAGTCAAGTATTCAGCCCCCTTACTTTACTTATACTAGTCCCGTTTAATATGGACCTCATATTTTAAATTCCAAATGGAGATACTTATGGGTGAATACTGCACAGGGCCCCTTTACCAGAAAGTCTCTGAGAATCCTGGCTGGAGACACCGGGTCACAGCAAGCATATTGATACAGAAGTTTGTAGCTATACATAGCCAGTACACACAGAGTAGGCCTGACGGGAGCTGCAGCTCCGCCTCTGCTTCTTTACAGGACTCAGGGATCGACATCGGGGACATCACTGCACGGAAGGCTCTGAGGAAGCAGCTGCAGTGCAAGACCTTCAGGTGGTACCTAGTCAGTGTGTACCCAGAGATGAGGATGTACTCTGACATTATCGCCTATGGAGTGGTAAGGAGCCAGTGGCTTGGAGTTTCATTCAGATGCAGACAGAAAGGAAGACCAGAGAAGAATGTTAAGATGGAAGGGAGGGAACAAGCCCACTATCACCTCTGTAGTATGCTATGATAAACTTGGGCTCAGCCCAAGCTGATGAACCTTCAATAGGCTTCGCTTTCACAGCCTGAGTCTTTCCAATCCCTCTGAGAAAGGACTGTATCTTTCCTTCACTGTCCTCTGCAATTCACCTGTGACCTCAAGTTTGCATAACCCTCTAAACAACATGCATAAAGAAGATTTAGCTTCCTTCAGATTGCAGGTTAACACAGCTTATACTCACTGGTACTCCCAGCTGGGGTGACTGGGGAGTGTCTTTCAAACACCTGAATGCCTTGTCTACCCACTGGCTGGCACCTCTCATTCATGTTTGACGCCTCCCTGGGAAAAGTTCTAAGAGGCAGAACCTCCCTTAAGTTTACTGAAGGGTTTTGCAAGCTTTGTTGGTTGATGTGCCTATTCCTTCTCTCTCTCTCTCTCTCTCTCTCTCTCTCTCTCTCTCTCTCTCTCTCTCTCTGTGTGTGTGTGTGTGTGTGTGTGTGTGTGTTAGCTGACAGAGGATGGAGTGGAGAAAATACCATTCGTTCATATCTTGGCTCTGGGCTGTAGGTGTAACTCTGGAGCAAACATAATTAGCATGTATGAGGCTCTGAGTTCAATCCCTAGCACCATCAAAAATACAAAGTAGAATAGATCTTGACCTTGTCCCTTCTTACAGACTGTGGGCCTAAGTGTCTTCATCTGTTAAATGGATAAGTTAATACTACCCTCACTGGCTAGAAGGGACTCTGAGAAATGTGAATAGATTTCCTTTCTCAGTTCAAAATACTTTAACCATGATAAACCCTTCCATCATCCAACTAATATCAGGACCTTCTACCCTTAAAGTGTTTTGAGCAGTACATGACTGCCATTTGAGAGTAAAAGTTAAAGTCTGAACACATAATTTTTTTCTATGACAGTTAAGCCCTTGATTCCACTCTGTGGGGATGCTTATATTATATTCAGGTTATATGAAGAAATGGGCAGAAACCTGACTTGTCTCTAACAGTGCCTGAAAGAATAGCTGGAATCACAGCAATTATTTGCTTTTGGAGAGCATTCCCTCCTGCCTTTTTTTGATATACCAAGATGAAAACTTGAAGGCAGAGCTGAGGCCTCTTTGGTGCCCTGTGATCAGAGCTGAGTTAAGGGCTTCCCCAGCTGGAAACTTGTTGAATGGAGCTCTTGCCTGGGAGTGTGAAGAGCCTTTTCTGAGAGATTTGACGCAGAATTCGTACTCAGTACGCTAATATCCAGTGGTTCTGAATGACACAGAGCTAGAACCTTAGACAACCCTCAGTTAAGACTGTTCAGGAAGCCATCTTGTAAGGATAAATTATATCTTCCACGAGAGCCCCATGCATGTTTGCACCCTGAAATGGTGCCTCTTACCTTTCTACTCCTGAGGCTGGGGATCAGAGCATCCCCTCAAATGATGCTGCCCAGCTGCTACACAATACTCCAGATCCTCCCTCATCATAGGAGCACACTGCGTTGCATGATGTCCATTAGCTCTGTACACATCACTAGAACCTTCCAGGGGATGATATCCTACTCTGCTCCATAAAAACCATATAGTGCCACTTGGCCACTGTTGACCCAGTCCTAAGAGAATATTGTGTGCCCAGAGAAAGTTTTAGAACCAAACCTCCATGAGCCAGGACATGCTCCAAACTTCTGTTCTCATCAGTCCATCACTGGAGCTGAGTGAGGTCAGCCACACGTACCAGGAGAGACAGAGGAAGCAGTAGCAACAAGAGTGTTTGCATGTAGCCATTGTATTTCCAGGTCCTAGCTAAAGACCCTTTTTATCCTTCATGTAAAAAGGTCTTATCTTGGGGCTGGAGAGATGGCTCAGCAGTTAAGAGCACTGACTGCTTTTCTAGAGGTCTTAAGTTAAATTCCCAGCAACCACATGGTGGCTCACAACCGTCTGAAATGGGATCCGATGCCCTCTTCTGGTGTCTCTTCTGGTGACAGTATACTCACATGCATAAAGTAAGCAAATAAATCTAAAAAAAAAAAAAAAAAGGTAAGGGGGTAGTTTCATAAGGGCAGAACGGAAAACTAAAACAGAAGTTATACTTTTAAAAAAAAGAAAATAACATTTTCTTTAAAAGTCTAACCTTTTACATACATGCAGCAGTAGGTTTCTCTTGGGACCCTTTGATGACAAAGACAGCATTTTAGTTGACCAGATAGTAAGTGTCTAGGCTATGTCTAGATGTCTCTGGGTCCATAGCTCAGACTGTCTGCACTCTGTCACATAAAAGGCCACCCACTCATTATCCCACAGAGATGAGCATGCTAGCCCTCCCCAGGACTGACAGAGGTCACTGTTCTTATAATGTTCATCCACCAGACACTGTGCAAGGTCCAGCTAGACTCTCCCTCCCACTCTTTCCTCCACATGTCAGTGCCTGACTCCTTCAGGAGCAGAGACATGCTTGCCGATCCAGAAACATCACGAACTCTTAATGAGGGCATGCAGGATACAGCCACAAGAGCGAAAACATTTGCTGGGTCTGAATTGTTCCTCCTTGGTAATTAGTTTTATTCTAAAATGCAGAGGCCAGATGTCCTTGCAGGAGCAGTGGTTTTTAAAATCTTTTTATTTTCCAGTTCAATTCATGCTTCAACTACATCATTCAGGTCAAATAAACTTTTGGGTCACTCAATTGGGGCAGTGTCAAGTGTATAGCCCAGGCCATTAAGTCACTAATAGGGCACATTACTGCTCCTTCTGGCTGAAGAAACTGTGGGCTGTATGTATGGGTTTCCCCTGAGCTCACTGTCTGGGAGATGAGGGAGCTTTGAATGACTCCCAGATCTCGTGCAGAGAATTAGAGATGGAGGGGAAGTTAGAATCAGACGTGCCCAGCTTCTAGACATTTACTTTGAACTTTCTCACTGTATAAGCTTGGCACTGTGCCTCAATGGTTACAGTAATCCTCTTAAAGGGGCACATTTAATAGTATCACGCTCATTACCACACATATGATGGAAAAAGCTTGGCCTCCAAGGTCAGACATACTGTGTCCCTGTCACCATGGTGCCATTCATTTGTTCACTTTCTGCACACACTCATTTAACACTCAGGGCAATTATGTGCTTCATGCCTTGGTCCATCTAGATACAACGAGGAAGACTAAAACCCAGTATTTGTGATGAATGAGGAGGCAGGCAAGTAAAGAAGCAACAAGAAAGCAGTGTGCTAGACGCTGCACTAAGATTCCTGAGTGAGGGTGAGGATGGAGAGATACTCAGCTGTTAAGAACACTTGCTGTTCCTGAAGAGGACATGAGTTCAGTTCCCAGCACTGATGTCAGGCAGCTCATAAGTGCCTATAGCTCTAGCCCCAGGGGATCTGCCCACTATGGGCACCAACACCCAGGTGTACATACACACACACACATGCAGGCATGCACACATATGTACACACACACACACATGAACACACACTTAAAATTAAAATAATTTTTAAAGAGAAATGAGAGTGTCAGGGAAGCATAGGGCACATGGTCTCAGCCCCAGCCTGGGGCTGGCAGGGTGGCAGCAGCACTAGCCAAGCAAAGAGAACAAAGCAGCGGGTGTTGAAAGTATTCACCTTCCACCGCATGAAGACTGAATCACAGACCGGGAAGCTGGGGGCGGAGGTGGGGCAGCTGCACTTACCACTACACCACAGTCCCAGCCTATAGGCTCCTCTGAGATCGAGATATGATTCACTTGGAAGTTCCTGGCACACCCGTTCATTCATCACAGCTAGTTTTCCCGAACGGCTTTCAGGGAGGTTACAGCAGTAATACAAGAAGCTAACAATTACTGCTGCTGGCTACCAGGCCCTATGCTAAGCCCTCGCAGATATTATATCATTTAATCTTCATAACATCCCTGAGAGGCAGGCACTGTGATTATCCTTATTTCCAAGGGAAGAAAAGAAGCAGGGCAAGTTACTTTGTCCAAGACCATGCTGCCAGAGTCAACACTGCACCACAGCCTGTCTCTCTTGGTCCACTGTTCCAATAGACCACCCACTTAACAGGGGAGGGACAACACAGAGCCAGGAAGGAATGTATCAAACGATACCCATCTGTCACCCAGAGGCTTGGGACCTGGGGAAAGCCAAGCCTAACAGGATCTGTGAGTCTCTGGTCTTGATAACGGATCACAGATTTAGATCCTACGCCTTTCTCTTCATGGACCAGGAGACAAGTTCAAAGAGTATTTCCATACTCTTCTCCTACAAAGCTACACCTAGCAGTGGACACAGGGCACATGACAGAGCATTGCCCACTTGTACACTTCTAAGGCACCAGGATTCCACAAGCCCAGCCTCTTACTGGTTCTGGCCTCCACCTGAACAGTGACTCAGCCATAGTTCACTGCCTTAGTGTCCCTGGATTCTTCTCTCCAGTCTCCCATTCTAAAAGGGGGACTTTGGGTTGAAAGACATGAAACTCTATTAAACTAGCCCAAGATGAGCATGGGGAAAGACACTATTAGCTTTCTTATGGGCGTGAAAACTGGCTGTGTGTGTGTGAACTCAGAAGCCATAAAAACCCAAGCAGAGGCAGGTGGCCTCTCTTATTTCTGATTTTGTCTGCCCTGTGCTTCATCTCCTTTCTGGTCACATCTGAGTTCTTCAGTTTACACACATCCACAAGATGTTCCACACGTAATCTTATTTACTCATAACTGTAGTGGCCACTACCCACACAGACCACATCTCAGGAGATCTGAGCTCTTTTAGATCCAGGATAAAAGAACTGCCATTTGTTCAAATTCCAGAAAGATATGGGAAGAAAGAGAATAATTCATTTGCCATAGACTGTGGGTTGGTGCCTTGTGGTCTACCCTGTTGTGGATAGTGAAAAGGGTCTTGTGACCTACAGGCCATCCTGTCCAAGGACTCAGCGTGGGCTTAGGTCATGAGGGCCATTGAGTATGGACTCTCATACCCAGATATGTTGTGCTGATTCATGAGACTAGGTCCATACATTTGTGAGAGTGAAAGATCTTTCTTCTGCTTCTACCAGACTCCTCTCTCTTCTTCCCCCACCAAGCTTTCTACTCCAGAGAATCCTCAGCAACTGGATCACCCTTGGGAGCTGGCCAAGCCCCTGATGGATCTCTAAGAGGCACAGAATACTGGGCCCCAGAGGACCTTCTTATATTCAAAACAAACAAAAAATGTTAGCCACTTTGCCCAACTCTCAAGAGCAAAGGCTGGTCGGGGCTTGTTCCCTCCTTCCCCTCCTGGAGCAGTGAAAGAATGGAGACCCTAGTGTTTCTCACTGTATACTTCCTGTATTTACTTGGATGATCTTAGCTTTGCAAAGGCAGCTTACTGTCTAATGAGTGTCATGATTTCTCATGGAGTGTGAGCCAGTCCCCAGTCATACCTTTATACAAATAAATAGCTGAGCCTGCTGATACCATAGTGTTTGGTGACCTAGGATTGATGAAGAAGATGAGTCTCTCTGAGGGCTACATCTGCCTGTCCTAAATTAATATGTGTGCTTTCTCTCTTCTTTCCCCTATGGTTTGGCCATATTTCCTCTGATGTTCAGCTGCAGAATTCCTTGAAGACTGATTTGTGTCTTGATCAGGGACCAGATACAGAGAATGTCCCCATCGTATACATATGCCATGGGATGACACCCCAGGTGAGTGTCTTCAGGAGGTCCCCGTGTCAGGAATGCACATGTGAGTGTTGGGTATAGAGAAGCACAACTGGGTTCTGCCATGGTGCCCCTGGGCCCAGAAATCTCTGGTGTTCATTATGAAGTGTTTCTATGAGTCTAAGCACCAAGCTGTATCTTCCTTGCCTGGAGAGAAGCTGGGAAAGTATGTTTTAGGGGCCAGCATCCTATGGAATAGGAATGGGGAAAGAGGAGATTCATTTTACAGAGAAACCTCTGCCTCCTTTTGGAAAGCTGTGGTGAGCTGTGTAGCTCAGGTTCTGGCAGGAGAGCCCTTTCTTAGCAGAATGGACCTTAATGGTTCCCCTAAGCTTTCTAATCTGCCTGAGTTCCATAGAGTACCAAGTCACAGTCTACAGGCCATGAGTCTCCTTTCTAGTTCTAATACATGTTTCTGATGGAGAACAAAGGACAGCCACCAGGAAATGAGCTGTCCTTTAAAATTCTCCATTCATGGTCTAGGCTTTAGATATGCAAAGCTATGTTGAAACACAGGCAATGGAGTCAGTTTGCACAATAAAATATAATAGGCAGCCACTGGTCAATGTTGCCCTAGCATGAAGAGTATCCAGATGAACAATGTTGCCAGAGTTTGACTCCAGAAGATAACAGTGACTGAAAAGGGTGTTTTCATATCAGTTTGTAGATGTGTGCTTCTGTGTTTAAGTTGTTACCTGCCTAAGCACTCAACTGAAGACTGTGACATGAACCTATGTATAAATGATGAGAATTTCCGTGATTGTTCACTTTGGTCCTAAAGGCTTATCTTTTTGGTAGGCCAGCCATGTTGCTGTGACATCACTAGTTGGTTAGTCTTTGAGCAGCCACATCACACTGTCTCTTCATCAGTTAGCATAGCAACTCACTCATTATTATAGAACAGTGCAGCATTTTTTGATATGTTACTGTCTCGGATACTTTACATATTGCTGGGATGACATAAACAATTTAAGGGAGAGAAGGATGATTTTGGCTTATAGTCCCGAGACCCAGCTCATCATGGCAGGGAAGGCATGGCAGCAGGGACAGGAAGTTAACAGGTCACATTGTATCTGCAGTCAGGAAGCAGAAGCAGACAGGAAGTAAGCCAAGCTATAAAACCTCAAGCCCAGTGGCCTTCTTCCTCCAGTATATCTTCACCTCCTAAAGTTTCCAGAACACTCCCAAATAGCACCACTAGCTAGGGACCAAGGGTTCAAACCCCTTAGCCTGCGGGGTCATTTCACATTCAAATCGTTCCACTGTCTTTATGCTAACAAATGTCCTATCATGGCATAATATATGCACAGAGGATAGATAAACTGTAAATGTGCAGATTATTGAAATTTCTATGAAGTGAGCATGATCATATTAACCAGAACCTCTTCTATTGGCCTCCATATCTGTTGAGCTATATTCATGGATCTTGTAAGCTACTGATTTGTTTTTCTGTAGCCTATTCTGAGTTATGAATATGCTATGAAGTACTGTGGTGGTTTGAATAAGAATAGGCTCATAGGCTCATGTATTTGAATGCTAAGTCACCAGGGAATGGTACTGTTTGAAAGGATTAAAAGGTGTGGCCTTGTTGGAAAAAGTATGTTACTGAGAGTGACCTTTGAAGGTTCAGAAGCCTATCCCAAGCCCAGAGTCTCTCTTCCTGCCTATGGATCAGGGTGTAGCTCTCAGCTACTGTTCCAGCACCTGCCTGCATGACCCCATGCTCGCCTCCATGATGATGATGGACTAACTCTCTGAAACTATAAGCAAATCTCCAGTTAAATGCTTTCTCTTGTAATAGTTGTCTTGGTCATGGTGCTTCTTCAGAGCAACAGAACAGGGACTAAGACTGTGAGATCTGCTGCAGCCATCTTACTTGTTCATGTCTTTTGACTTGTATCGATACGCATTTCTTTTGGACTTATACTTAGGGATAAAACTGATGACTCATAGAGTTGGTGTATGTTTCCGTTAATGAATATTACCTGTAATAATCTGCTCATGTGACCCAAACAACCTACCACAGACTGTGCAGGTTAAGCAACAGAAATGCATTTCTTACAGCTCTGATGGCCAGGAAGTTCAAAGTCTAGATGCTAACAAATAAGGCATCTGGTAGTGGCTCATTTCCTCACTCTCAGGAGGCCTCTCTCCTGCACTCACAAGACAAGGAGAAAAGGGACCTTCAGAAAAAGGGGCTGGTGTCTGGTATCACAAGAGCACTAATCATATAGGATAGGGGTTCTATCCTTACCATTTAATGTGAAGAAATGGAGAAGTCTAAGCCTATCCCTGATAAAAATCACAAGAAGACTCTTTCTGAAAGAAATGCTAGGATATGGATCATGATACAGAGGCCAGGGGTGTAATTTGTCATCTCAGCAGAGGCCAAGGGTGGAGATGGGGTGAAACTGGGAGGGACACAGAGAAGTGGAAAGGAAGGAAGGGTAGCTATCAAACCATTGCACTCTGAGGTACTGGAACATGGAGAGATTTGCCCATCAACTGTGTTGTTCTTCAGAGAAAGGGCATGGTGATGCCAGATGCTATAGGGAATACCAAGATCATCACAGACACCACTGCTAACACAGGTGCTGGGAGCAAGGTGGATATCCTCCCCAGACAAAGACCACTAGTGCTGAGTCCTGGAAAATCAGCAAGTTGCTATGGCAATGAAAATACAGAATATTGAGGGAAAGGTCAATGCAGTGAACATCAGGAGGCCTGAGTTCTATGCTTGGTCTTCCAGGATCACTTTAACTTTTTCTTTTCTCTTAATATCTTATATCCTTATGAGGATATGACTTTATGCTAACATGTATGAAACATAATTAGACAGTTCAGGGGATTCCTACCTCTGTGTGTAACACAGTTACCATCCTAGTGAATTCTATCATCCCTGAGGGCTTCTCATTTGTCCTCTCAGTCAGCATTGCTACTCATGGGTAGTACAGTTCTGATCTCTCCCCAATTAACTTGCTACATCTAGATATGTCTGCCCATCTGTATATGATGAAACTAGACTAGGCCATCTCTAGCCCCAGCTCTACCAGCTATAACAACCTGCTTATCTCTAGTTCATTTGTTCTGAAAGACACTTGTCTGGGAGCTATGAGGCTATGCTGTGCTTGCCAGGGATTGTGGGAACTGCCTTCATAAATCAACTCCTTCATGTGCTCATGTACCTGAATTCTGCAGGAAGTACCAGGCAGGCCTTCCAGGTCTTCTCCTTCCAGGTTCATGCTTTCAGGGTCCAGGAGGATTTGAACCAAGTTTGGGTCACAGGGTACCAGAGAAGGAAGCTATATGGACTCTGTTGTGGCAGGAATTGGTTGATGACAGACCTGAGAGACAGGGAGATACTGGCTTGTCTTGGAAGTGGGCTGTGTGTCCCTGGGTTGAGTTTCTGTATCCACCCAGCATGAACACAGGAACACAAGGACATAAAGTGAGTGATTGTTGAGGCGATGAGAATTCTGGCTTCCAGGATTACCCCAAAGCATCCTCCAGTCCTCAAAAGTATCATGAAGAGGCTTAAGAAAGGAAGGTCCTTTCTAGTAAAGTATGGATAGACGTAGGTCCCAAGGGTCAACTATATCTCACAGACCTTGTCTTAACACATTTTTGATGAGATTGTCCCTCCTCCTGGCAGTTCTCAGCAAGATCTTCCACTTGATAGGGAGAACTCAGATATGGTCACACATGTACAGATGGATTGCCACATGTCTCCATGTGAGCTGCATACTCACTACCCCAGAAAAGAACAATGGCCCTCACATTGCTGTCTAAGAAATGTAGATAAGTCCAAGGTGACAATCTTTCTGACCTCTGCTGTAAAACTTCACACATCCTTCCACGAGAACCACAACCAATAGGCAGCCTGAAAATACTGACAGGAAACATGGAGGTTAAAGGCCAGGATGGAGAGATGGCTCAACAGACAAAGGCACTTGGACCAATGCAGATGACATGAGTTCAATCCTTGAGACCCACATAGTAGAAAGAGAGAATTCATCATGGAAAGTTGTCTTCTGGTCTTCACTTGCACACTAAGGCACACACATGAATAAATGTGATAACTTTTTAAAGCACTTGAGAGCAGGAAAGGTGGCGCATCAGTTAACAGCTATTACAGAAGACTCAGTTCAGTTCCTAGCAGCCATGTCAGGTGGCTCATCGTTGCCTGTAACTACAGCTCCAGGTGATCCTGTGACCTTCTGGCCTCCACATGTACCACATACACACAATTATAAGATCAAAATAACTAGCGGAATAGGAGAAATGGCTTAGTGTCTAAGAGTAAAATAAAACTAAATCTTTAGAGAGGAGTGATGGTTCCATAGTTAACAGTACTTGTTACCCTTCCAGAAAACCTGGGGTACTCCCCAGAACCTATTTTGGGTAACTCACAACTACTTATAAGTTTCAGGAAGTCCAATTTCCTCTTCAGGCCTTCACAGGTCCCCACATGCACAGAAACATAAGATAAAAATTAATCCTTCTTTAACATTATTGCTGGGTTCAAGCCATGCTACTCACTAACCAGGCGCCTTGGATAGATGTTGTGCCTCAATTTTATTACCTATAAAATAGCAATTATAGCATCGCTTACCTTGTAGGGTTACTGCTAGGATTACAGAATGAGTGTTCATGAAGCATTTAGACAATGCAGGCTTTCCCACGATTGTTACCTAGTCTAGGTAAGCAGCTATTATTACAAGGCTTGACGTAGGATAGTAGTGATTAGCCTTAAGAGAGAGTTGAAGCTTCCTTCCAAATAAAAGAATATACATGTTTTTCTGAGAGCAAGGAGCTCTTTCAGCCACTAGCTCAAGTGACACTGGTACCTTCATCATTTTTTCCTCAAGCCTTGTTGGTAGACTTCTGGGATACTATGACACCTAAACTGAGAAATCTCTAAGGTTTCTTCCATTCTGTGACTCTGTGGCTTTCTTTTACTTTGAGACAGTCTTAGGATATAGCTC